AATAAGACTTGAAAATTTACTGCACACGGAAGTTGAAGGTGAGGAAAGACGCAAGGATTACTCCAAGGTTGTGAACACAGGGTCTATTAGAATGGTAGGACCACCAAAAATAAAAAAAGAGGAAAGTTTGCAAAACTGTATGTGGGGGGGATTGAGTTTCATTTTCACCAGTGCTGACTTTAAAATCCCATGTACATCAAGGTTGAAGTGTACAGCAAGTAGATTCAAGACTGGAATTTAAGAGAGAAAAGGACAACGGACGTGTTCATAGATAGATAGATAGATATACACACATGCATACAACTTAATGTATGCATAAACACACACACACACACACACACACACACACAATCTGCATAAAACTGACAACTGAATCCATGAGAGAAACTGAGAAAAAAATGTAGAAAGACCGGAACAGTCCTGGCTGATTCACATTTTTTGGTTGCGAAGACAGCTGAGAAATAAAAATAACTTACTGAAGATTTCATGCCAAGTTAGCAGAACCATGATGAATAGATTTTTAGGATAACTGAAATGATCAAGCAAGGGTTTACAAGTTTTTAAATGTATAAAATAAAATGTATGGATTTCAAAGAAAACCAATTAGAGTAAAATACAGTTATCAATTTTTTTTTTAAACAAATAACTTCAAGGGGCAGCTAGGTGGTGAAGTGGATAGGGCACCAGCCCTACAGTCAGGACGAACTGAGTTCAAATCCGGCCTGAAATACTTGACACTTACCAGCTGTGTGACCCTGGGCAACTCACTTAACCCCACTGCCTAGCCAAAAAAACAAAACAAAAACAAAACACAACAACAACAATAACAACAACTTCATAAGTTAAGAAGTCCAAAGACTTTTAGAAGAACAGGAATAATATATCTTATCCTTCTGTACACAGAAAGACAGGTCTGTTGTAGTGTAAAGAACATTGGTAGGGTTAGCTAAAACATTGAATGACAGAGGCAAGATTGAAAAAGAAATCTTGACAGGTCTAGAACATTAAGCCAAATCTAATAAGATTATATTTAATAAGGAACAAAATATAAAGTTATATATTTGAGTTCAAAAATTCAACTTCCCAAGTAAAAAGGAGTCATAGTTAGAAAGTAATTTCCCCACACAAGCCCTGCAGATTTTAGTAGACTAACTTTAAGAATGGAGTGACTATACGTGTGAATGGCAAGCTTAGAAGGCTAATGTGATCTGAGTCTGTATTGAGAGAAACACTGTGCTCAGAACTAGGAAAACAACAGTTCCATTCTTTCTGCCATTTTAAGATGATATCTAGCATACTCAGACATGCTGAGTCCAGGGGACTGCCTTTTGAGAAGGGAATAATAAGTTAGAAAGCATCTAGACAAGGACAATCAAAATGATGAAAGGCCTATGGTTTGTGACATATGAGATTTAAGGAACTAGAGATGTTCAACTTGAAGAGATGAAGTCTTTGGGGACATAACAATTGTCTTCAAGCAACTGAAGAACTATCATTTAGAAGACAAATTAGGGTTTTCTCTTCTTGATCAAATATAGAAGACAAGAACATCATTGGCTACTCTTTACCACGTGCCAATTCTCTACATTGCTCCATGGGCTCTCCTGGATTAGCATATGCAGCCACACTCCTCAGCAAGGCTTTGCTCCCAGCTACTATCTGTTGGATCAGTCAAGCCTTCAGTTTTAGTCTCCCAAACTATGTCTAGAACCTCTGCCTGATAAGCAGAGTAAGACCCCCTCTTTACTCACCACATAAAGGTAATAAAAATCAGGCAAGGTATATGGCTAAGCATAACTCTTTCCTTTTCATTCCCAATTTCTGCCTTGTACATCAAAGCCTTCTGTTAACAAATACCAAACCAATTTATAGTTAGCTACTCTTGCATAGCCCTAAGATCCTCTTTGGCTTAGCTAAAAATAAATTCAAGCTAGGATAAAAAGTAAACTAAGGTGGCAAGGTCTGTGGTCTCTATCCTCTCCACTCAGAACACATTCCTATCTTTATGATGAAGATTTGTATGCAACAACACCTTAGTGATTTTGTGCTATATTTTGGTCAGTCTCTGTATGTTATCAAATCTTGACTGAGTTGTCCTCATGGAAGCCAGGAAATCCTTTTCCTCCTCTCTATTTCACATAAAGGTTTCTTTTAACTGCATGCTATTTCATGTTCAATTTTATTCTTTCTTCCAGCTTTGTATTAATTAGGACCAATACTAGTGATGTTCAAAGTATTAGATCTTTAACAAATAGGTGGTCTCCACAGAGAAGAGAGAGTGGAGTTTAGGCACAAGGAAAACATTCAGGAGACTACTGCAATCATCTGAGTCTGACAGGTGATGAGGGCCAGGGCTATAGTGGTAGCCATACAAAGGGAGAAGTGGGGCAAGAGGTAGATGGATATGGGAATGAATGAATGAATGAAGGATTTATTAAGCACTTACTATATACACAGCACTATGCTCATAACTGGAGATACAAACAGAAAAATAGGCAATCCCTGCTCTCAAGAAATTCACTGCAATAGAAACCTTCCATATGGAAGGTTTCACATAAAAGTCATGTGGAAACATCTCATGGTCCTTTCTGTGCAGTGACAAAGCAGATGGTAATGACTCTTCTTTAATGTCATTTCCAATGATAAAAAAATCATATCAGTTTCTGATGTTGAACCATTTAACAGTGCCAAGAAGTTCCTTTTCTTGGTCTTCAATAGATTGTAAAAGGACCCTGTACACATTTATATAAATTCTAGTACCTTATGATTTCAGCTACCCAGCAAGTCTTTAACATACAGAAACATGCATCATGAGAAACAAGAAATATCACCCATCCCTTTTTCATATTAGCAACTTGTCACTCTTGAGCAATAATGCTCACTCACATCACTGAGTCCTATGAACAGTCACATTTTCCATTTCTCCTGAGTGAAAGGTGGAATGACCTAAGTACAAATGCAACATATTATAAACAATTTCTTACAAAAAAGGTCACAGATTAAAACCAAAGCATTTTATAGAATTTACTACAAAAAACTATAAAATTGCCCTCACTTAAACCCTTTTGCCCTGTATCTTGTGAACCAGTTTGATGTCTTTGGGTGGCCAGGTTAGTATCTTCAAGGAGACACACCAGATATGCCTCACTAGCCTCTTGAAGGGTACTCCCAGCAGCACTCTGAAACTCCAAGTGTGTTCTGAAGTCCTGAGAAATCTCCCCTGTCAGCCACTGGAAAGGAAGCTGCCTGATCAAAAGATCTGCTGACTTCTGGTAAAGGCAACTTTCACAAATGGTCATAATTCCAGTCTGGTAATGATTTGGCTACTCTGCCCCACCAGCAGAGGGAGTTCTTCTCTCAGCAGCCTTTTGTTGGTGCTGCGCTTTCCCACCAATCTTCTTTGTCTTGTCTTATCAAATGAGCATCTGATATTTCCTCCACTGAATTCACTGCTGATGCTGCTTCTGTCTACTTCTCTGCCTTGTTCACATAACTAACACTGGGAAATGCTCCTGCTCTGCTCAATGACCAAACTGCTCTGCATTCTTCATTGCGGCTTCTAACATGGTTGATAAATCCATCTTTCTGGATAGTTTTTTAAGCCCTCTGCTTGCAGCCATTATCCTGTTAAACAATCCCTTTCAGAGATACAGCCTCACAGCTCCCACAGGTGTTATAGTCATATCTATTGAAAGTTTGGAATAATACATGAGTGTTTTGAGGGGCAAAACAGGGGAGAAGGGGGTAAAAGGGATTGTCTCTATATTCTCAATGAAGAAAGAAAAGATGTCCTTTCACTGAAAGGTGGCAAAGGATTTTGAAAGAGAGAAGGTTTAGAACAACCTGTGGAAATGGAAAGTGGAAAGAAGAGTAGAATAAAATAAGTTGAAGTGGCTGGCTAGAATCAGATAAGTGAAACCCAATAGTTTAGGGTTTAATACGACCCAATGAATTATGAAGTATAAGAATAACAAGATCAGAGGATTTTTTTTTCATTAGGACAATTACTTGGGCAATGTTTTAAAGGAAGGATTAAAAAACATCTGGCTTTGAATTAGGAAAGGCAGTTACCAAATTATAACTAAAATCTAGGCGAAAAGGAAGGCTGGTATAAGAAGAGTGGGAATTAAAAGGAAAAGGCCCAAGTAAGATACTGTGACATAGAACTGAGAAGACTTTGCAACGATGGGATGTGAAGAACAAGAGAAAGTCTGAGCATATAAGTAGAAGTGACAGTTTTAAGGAGAAAGATTATTCCAGTTTTGAATATATTTAATCTGAAGTATCAATTAATTATTCAGGCAGCTGTGTTCAACAACAAATGGAAATAAGATGATAGAGTTCTAGAGAAAAATTGAGTGAAGAAACATAGACTTGACAGTCATCTTAATAGAGGTGATTATCAAAGTCATGGTAGCAGATGAGACTACCACAGAAGAGATTATGGAGAGGAAAGAGAAGAGGTCCAAGAATAGAACCTTGGAGGAATAAGGCAAAGGAAGAAGAAAAGCAAAAGTGACAAAGGAATGGTTAAGAAGATACTAGAAGGAGGATGTAGGGGGAAGGCAGTAGACAGTCAAGACAGCAAAAGGAAATAAAGGTATTAGGAAGGAGTTATCAGCCTGTCAAATGCCACAGAGAGTTGGGGTGGAAGGGGAATTCAAATAATGAAGTCCGACAAAAGCCCCTCTTAAATTAGTGACCTGAGAGGTTGTCAGTACCATAAAAGAAAGATATTTCAATAGAATGGTAAATGTTTTATCATTAAAAATAAACAATGAGATATTAAAAATGATATTTTAAACACCAATGACTCATAAAATTAGAACCTTAATCAGTCTAAATTAATTTCAAAATCATTACAATTACTTTTCACTTCACACAAAGTACTTTTGTTCCTTTTGTTGTGCTACTTTGACTCATTTTATCAACTGATTTTAGCATTAAAAAAGGAAAACAAAGATATTCCTATAATGTTTGGGGTTTTTTTATTAACTTACTTGTGACCCAAGTGCTTGAGAAAGTATCCCAATACTTTCAGAGCCTGAACCCAAATACTTTCACTTTTGGAAGCCAATAATTTGTAGATCACTCTAAGAAGAAACAAAATATTCATATCATTAATTATTTGCTAATAACAAAAACAAACATTTCCATAGTATCTGCTTCATAAGAAAATAACAGAAAAATATGACTGTCATTCTATTTCAATAATAATTCATGGAAATTATGACAGTAAGTCTTTTTATTAGTTTGTCTTTAACAGTTTTAATTTTTTTATTTTAAATGAATGTAAACATCAAGAGCATTTGCGAATGAAATTATGATCTCGATTTCATGCCATTTGTTTTCCTTAAGTATGTAATAAAGTCCACATACTTTCCAAACTATCCTGCTGTCTTTGCTAACTTCTGAAATTCTTTTCTGTGTATTTTTAAAAAAATATTTCAACAGTTCTCTTTACCTGACATCACAATTGCTAACTCCTCTCCCTGATACTCTACCCCATTCTACCCCCAAGTTAAAAACAGAAGGGTCCAAAAAAAAAATCCAACCTTATAACATATAAGTATAGTCAAGCACAACAAAGTGATACAATGACCACATCCAAAAATGTCTTTTTGAACTATGAGCTCCTCACCTCCTTTCAGTAAGCAGAAAAGAAGCTTTATCACAAGTTCTCTGGAAATCTAATTGATCACTGCTTTGATCAGAGCTCTTAAGTTATGCAAAGTTGTTTTCATTACAATGTTGTCTTTGCATAAACTGTTCTGTTTCTACTCACTTCAAAATGCTTTAGTGCATACCATTAGGACTCTCTGAAACCATCTCTTTCATATTTCTTAAAGTTGAGAAATATTTTATTATATTCATAAACTATTTTTATTCATTCACATCTCAACTAAAAGACATACTCTTAGATAACAATTCTTTTTTTTCCTTCTTTTTAATTCCCTATTTGAGATGAGGAATTTTGTTCTGCTTGAGACTATTTCCTATCTAGTATTAGCCACTTTCCAATTCTTTCCCTTTGAGAACAAGATGGGTTTTTCTGCCTACGACTATTCCCCTCTCTGTATTACCCTACTTCTTAACCTACACCCCATCCTCATTTATTTCCCTTTTCATTTTTAAGCATTTCTACTTCAAAATACGTGTTCATTACTCCTTTGTTTAGCTCAGATAAGAATAAAGTACATCTTCTCACTCCTTCTTCCATATTTTAATACTCTCCTTAGGTACCAATTACAAGATATAGCAAATCACAGCACCTCCTTCCACCTTCCAACAGACTTCATAACACATTATTTTGTAAACTTATTACACTTTATATATCATGAGTTGCCTCTCCCTTAGAGAATAAGCACTCTGATGACAGAGATACTGTTTTACCTAAATATTTTACCTCCTCTAATGTCTGGAACAATATTCTGCACATATTAGGTATTAAAGTATGTTTCATTGTTGGTCAATTTACTCCATTTAGGAGATTTCATAGAAGCTTCACCCCAATCTCTAGCTTTTCCAAATTCCATCTCGGTGTGAATTACATCTAAGAAGAGATCTAAAATGTCACTAGGTTTCCTTTCATATCTGAACAACCAACATACATTTCCTAAGTGCCTAGCATGTTGCTATTCTCAGCAAGATAGTGATCTAAGACAATTTCAAAGATCTCAGGTTGAAAAATACTATCTGCCTCCAGAGAAAGAACTGATGGAGTCTGGATGCAGATTGAGGCATACTTTTATTTTATTTTATTTTTCTTGGGGGGGGGGGTGTGGTTGGTTTGTTTTCTTTCAAAACATGACTAATATGGAAATATATTTTGCATGACAGCACATGTATAACCTATATCAAATTGCTTGTCTTCTAAATGAGTGGAGAGGGTAAAGAGGGAAGAAAATAATTTGGACTTCAGATTTAAAAAAAAACAAATGTTAAAAAAACTACATGTAATTTTTAAAAATATAAAATATTTGAAACGAAATATGAAAAAAATTAAGTATAGTATGTGCTAGGTATAGGTAGTGATGAGTGCTGCAACTACAAAGGACGTTCAAAACAGTCCATGCCTGCAAGCTGGTATGTGGGACATGATATGTATATAAATAGGTACATATACAGAACAGATGAAAGGTAACTTTATCAGTGAATACTATAGCAGCTAGAGGGACTATGAAAGGCCTAATGCAGAAGAAAGCATTTGAACTCAAACTTACATATTTTTAAATTTTTTTTAAGGCGCTTTCATTTTTTCTCTCTCCTACTTCCCCAAGACTCAAAATGACAAAAGAAAAAAGTTTTTTAACAAATATGAATTCGTGAAGCAAAATAAATCCCTACATTGCCCATCTTCAAAAATATATGTCTCATTCTGCATCTTGAAGTTATCACCCTGCTTTTAGGAGGTAGATAGTATGCATCCTCATCAGTTCTCATGGAATTCTAGTTGGTCATTATACATTATTCAGTTTTCAAATCTTTCAAAGTTTATAGTTACCATGTTCCTGCTACTGCATAAACTATTTTCCTGCTTCTGCTCATTATATATATATAAATTCATACAATTATTCCCAGGTTTCTCTGAAATCCTTCCTTCACTTCATCATTTCTTCTGTCACAATATTATTCTGTTACATGCATATGTCACAATTTGCTTAGCCATTTCCCAATTGGTGGGCAACTCATTAGTTTCCAGGTCTTTGTGTCTACAATAAATATTCTTGTACATATAGGTCCTTTTTTCCTCATATGATTTCTTTGAAGCATAAACCTAGAAATGGCATTGCTGGGTCAAAGGGTACATTTATTCACTGTTTAGTAACTTTGTTTTAGTAACTTTTATAATTCCAAATATAGTTCCAGTATATCTGGTCTAATTCACACATTCATTGACAGCATTTTTGAGTTGAGTATTGAGGTAAGCGAGGGAATCTAAGGCACAGGTGAGGAAGCAGATCATTCTACACATGGAGGACAGCTATTACAAAGGTCTGAAGAAATAAACACAGGACTTGGATTACCTAAGCCAAGAAAGAGAAGTTCTATGTTAAGAAGATTCATAAATTTTCTGAGAGGTGGGACTCTTTCCAATACTGAATATCACTGGAAGGCTTTATTTTACCATTACCACTCCTCTAGAAATTGCCATTACAATGCTTTTATTCACCTTCTTCACCTTTAAATCTGTTCCCTGACACACCTTTTCCTAGCCATATTAAATTTAATGAATACTATTACTTTCCCAATATCTTACTTATTTTTAAATACTCTTCATTTTATTATCTCATTAATAAACAGTTTTGTCTATTTCATCTTTCCATATCAATTAAAAGATCTTCCTAAAAGTTATCATTTTACTTGCCTCCTCAGCAAAAGTGAGCCAATCAGACAAATACTTTTCTGTGTAGTTCTACAAACACTCACTGTTGATACAATTATCTTACCGTATCCCATTTCTTTGATCAAAGGCAGGTATCATTGAGGCTGGGTGTTCTGACATCAAAGCCACCAATAACTGCAAAACATCATGTATGTTTTCATCCTACAAGGAATGATCAGCAATATTTTACGTGTTAAATTTGATTATACTACAAATTGTAAAATAAAGAATTCAAAGACCTATAAAACTTACCTCATGCATTGTTAATAAATAATTTAGTATACTCTGAAGTTCATCTTCCTTGACACCTCGATCCTAATAGAAAGGTGGTATTTTTTTGGTTAAATAAAATCCAAAATGTTTACCTATTAGTAAAGAAAACTATAGAATGACTACTTTTTAAAAGAAAACAAATTATAGCTAAATGACAATCATGTCATAGACATTAAAATTGTTTTATACTCCAAAGTTATAAACCTTAATTATACCTGAATTAAGTAAATCAATTACCAAAATGTTACATTTAAATGGAAAATAAACATCACTAAAATGTGGATGACAATCACTATGAAATGCCCATTTACTTTCAGGTAATTTATGATGACATTCAAATTACATCTTTCTATTCATTAAATGTCAATTAATTTCCTCTACACTATAATGTATATGTTCAAATGCTACTCTTACATAGATAACTCTATTTTGTATTCAATATATTTACTCCCTGAGAGAATGATTTTCTTAAAAAAATGAGAAATATTAAATTCTACAAAAACCAACAGATCATTTATATGATTTTGACAAAATATAAAAACTTCTGCTAGGTTATTTGTTATCATCATGATACGGATTTGTAGCTGTCTTAGACAATAAGACTTAAAAGTTGTAATAACTTTCACAAACAAGAAACAAAACAAACAAAAAAAGCTAAAGAATCAATAACTAAGTTTACCTTTAATATAAGCTGCTTCAAAAAAAGCAGCATAAATGCCCGTAATGATATAATTTCTTTTTGTGAGGGTCGGGGACCATCTAGAATAAAACACGAACAATGGTATTTTAAATTATTTTTATGCAATTATTTTAAAACTATTAGAGTTTTCTATGTTTCAAAGATCGTATGCCAATGCTTCCTAAAAAGAAGACTATAACATATGAATAAAGACTTTCTTGAGAAAATTTCAACTCTGGTGACATTTTCCTGTCAAAAATTGAAAATATAATTATGTATGTACCAACTAATGCCCATCAAGTGTATGAATATGGGTTTAAATTTTCACTATCTAGTTTTAAGAATTCTCCAAAATCTGCTTTATTGTGTGAGATAGACAGCAGATCTGAAGAACATGATTTAAGAGTTCAACCACTGTATTTCAATCCGTGAAAAAACCAAATCAGTCTAGAAAATGTTACTGTATACTTTTACAATAACACCACCAAATCAAACTTTTTAGCTTTTCATGTTTTGTCAATTTGAAATTAATGGCCAGTGCTCCTAAAATTATGCATATATGGAAGTAGGGAGCACAAAGGAAATAAATTCTAATTTAAAAAATACTATAAGTTTTCAACGATTCTCAATGGAACAATTCAACTACAGGGATATGATACACTCACTTCGAAACTCCCAGAAATCAAAAGGAACTTAAAAAAGGTCATGAATCTAACCTTTACTCAAACTGGAATTCTCTTTAAAATATGTAAGTTTATCCTGGCTCCACATAAGGGCGTCCAATGACTGCGAGCCCACTAATCTTCTAAATTGGCTCATTCCATTTCTAGACAAACCTAACTGTTGAGAAGTTGTTGGATTTTTTCCCCTTCTTAACTGAGATTATATCAAATTCTCTCAAGTTTCTACTCATTATTCCAACAACTCTGCTATGGTGATGAGCAGAAAAAATATACATATACTCCCTTGTGAACATAAGAGCCCTTTAAAAACCTATAAGGCTATGTTCTTTTTAAATTTTTTTTTTTAATGAACAAATTTTCTCTCTCCTACCTCCTCAAAAGGCAAGATAATATGCATAGTCCAGCAAAACAAATTTCAACACTGGCCCTGTCCAAAAACATAGCCCTGTCCATCTTAAATCCATAAAGATAAGTAATGTTGAAAGACTTAAGAACTCTGATCAATGCAATGAGCAAACACAATTCCAGAGGACTAATGAAAGACTATCTTCTTATGACTAAATATCTCAATTTTTTTCAACTCATCTTTGAAAGGAATGCTAACTAAAATTCTCATAATCTTGGCTGACCTCTTTTGCCCACGCTCCAACTTGTTTACATCACTGCAAAGATAAACAGAATTTAATAGCTAAATGTAGCCAGCAAATAAGAATTTATTAAGCACTTACTATGGGCCAGAAACTGTGCTAAAATTCCAGCATTACCAAGAAAGGCAAAAAACATTTCCTTCTCTCAAGGAGCTCACATTCTAATTGAGGAAAATAACAAGACAAACAACTATGCCCTAACAAAATATAAGCAGTCCCAAAAGTCTCTGTGAAGTTTTAAGCTTATACATACTGGACAAATTGGGGGTAATCTCAGAAGGAAAACACTAAGATTAAGGAGAACTGGGAAACGCTTCTTTCAGAAGCTTGAACTTTAGCTGAGATTTGAAGAAAGATATGAAAGCTAGGAGGTGTAGATGGGAAGGTAGAACATTTCATGGATATAGGACAACCAATGAAAATGCCCAACCAGAGGATGGAATCAAGATGGCAGAGAAAAAGCAGAGACTCGCTTGAGCTCTTCCCCAAACCCCTCCAAATACCTGTAAAAATTACTCTAAACAAATTCTAGAGCAGCAGAACTCACAAAATAGACAGAGTGAAACAAATTTCCTGCCCAAGACAATGTGTATGATTGACAGGAAAGGTCTGTTGTTCTAGCTGAGATACAAGTGCAGTCTAGTGTGGGACCCACAAAGCCTACAGCAAGCAAGATTCAGGGGACTGAATTATGGGAAGCTGTGGTGGTTTTCCAGACTTCTCAACCCACAAACACCAAAGACAACAACATAGAATGCCAGGAAGAAGGTCTGTCAGACCTGGGTGAGGGAGGAGCCTAGGACAGTCCCAGCACCAGCACAGCCCCAGGCCAGTAGCAGTGGAGGCATCAGCTGCTTCCAAATCTCAACCCATAGACCACAAGGGGATCGAACAGCTAAGCAAAAGGAGATTACAGGGAGCTCTTTTCTGGCACTGGGGAAGGATTCTGTTGCTCTGCCCAGACTTGGATCTGGGTCACAGTCTTGGGTGGCAGTCCTGGGACGAGGAGCACTGGCATAACAGACCTTGTGGAAAGAGTGGAGAGGGAACCCTCCTCACAGTTCCAGGACAGAAAAGAGTTTTTGTACTTACTCTCAGAGCACAGCACAGGCCAGGGGAGGAGTAAATACCTCTCCTTAAATCACATCACCTTACAAAAACTGAAAACTTACAGGTCCCTAGAAGTATCTCTGAAAACAGCTACACAAAACCCTTGAAGCTTAGGACAGTACACCTTCAAAACACTGGAAGCAGAGCCCTACCTTAACAAAGGGTTAAAAAGTCAAGGAATTGTCTGGGAAAGTGAGCAAACAGTGCGAAAAAACCTCAAACTATAGAATCTTACTTTGGTGACAAAGAAGACCAAAACATACACTCAGAAGAAGACAACAAAGTCAAAGCTCCTCTACCTAAGGCCTCCAAGAAAAATATGAATTGGTCTCAGGCCATGGAATAGTTCAAAAAGGATTTTGAAAAGCAAGTAAGAAAAGTAGAGGAAAAATTGGGAATAGAAATGAGAGTGATGCAAAAAAATCATGAAAAACAAGTCAACAGCTTGCTAAAGGAGGACTCCCCCCCAAAAAAAATACTGAAGAAAATAACACCGTAAAAACGAGCCTAACCCAAATGGCAAAAGAGGTCTAAAAGGCCAATGATGAGAAGGCCTTAAAAAGCAGAATTGGGCAAATGGAAAAAGAGGCATAAAAGCTCACTGAAAAAAAATAATTCCTTAAAACTTAGAATGGCACAAATAGAAGCTAATGAAATCAAGAAATTATTAAAAAAAAAATGAATGAAAAAATAGAAGACAATGTGAAATATCTCACTGGAAAAACAACTCACCTGGAAAATAAATCCAGGAGAGATAACTTAAAAATTATTGGACTACCTGAAAGCCATGATGGAAAAAAAAAAGAGCCAAGATACTATCTTTCAAGAAATTATCAAGGAAAACTACTCTGATATTCTAGAACCAGGGGGTAAAATAAAAATTGAAAGAATCTACCAATCTCCTCCTGAAAGAGATCCCAAAAGGAAAACTCCTACGAATATTATAGCCAAATTCCAGAGTTCCCAGGTCAAGGTCAAGGAAAAAATATTTCAAGCAGCCAGAAAGAAACAATTCAAGTATTGTAGAAACACAATCAGGACAACATAAGATTTAGCAGCTTCTACATTACGGAATCAGAGGGCTTGGAATATGACATTCCAAGGTCAAAGGAGCTAGGATTAAAACCAAAAATCACCTATCCAGTAAAACTGAATGTAATAAATGAAGGGGAAAAATTGATATTTAATTATGTAGAGGGATTTATTTATTAACTTTCAAACACAAGACTCAAGAGAAGCAGAAAGGGTAAACAGGAAAGAGAAATCCTAAGTGACTTATTAAAGTTGAACTTTCCTACATGGAAAGATGATATTTGTAACTCATGAGACCTTTCTCATTATTAGGGGAGGGAATATATATAGACAGAGGTCACAGAGTAAGTTGAATATGAAGGGATGATATCTAAAGAATAAAATTAAAGGGTGAGAGAAAAATGTATTGGGAGAAGGAAAAAGGGAGAGGTAGAATGGGGTAAATTATCTCACATAAAAGAGGCAAGAAAAAGCTTTTACAGTAGAGGTGAAGAGGGGGAAGGCGAGAAGGAATGAGTGAACCTTACTCTCATCAGATTTGGCTTAAGGAGGGAATAACATACATACTCAACGGGGTATGGAAATCCATCTTACCCTACAGGAAGGGGGGGGGGTAGGGATAACAAAGGGGAGGAGTAGAAGGGAGAACAGATCGAGGAAGGGTGTAATCAGAAGCAAACACTTTTGAGGAGGTCCAGGGTCAAAGGGGAGAATAGAATAAATGGGGGGGGTGAGGGAGTGGGATAGCACGCAGGGAAATACAGCTAGTCTTTTACAACATGACTATTATGGAAGTGTTTTGCAAGACTACACATGTATAACCTATATTGAATTGTTTGGCTTCTTAATGAGGGTGGGTGGGAAGGGAGGAAGGGAGAGAAGCTGAAACTCAAAGTTTTAAAACTGAATGTTAAAAATTGTTTTTACATGCAACTGGGAAATGAGATACACAGGCAATGTGGTATAGAAATCTATCTTTCCCTACAGGAAAACAGAAGGGGAAGTGCGGGGGGGAGGGGGCGGCAGTGATAGAAGGGAGGGCAGATTGGGGGAAAGAGTAATTAGAATGCACACCATCTTGGGGTGTGGGGAAGGGAGAGACTGAGAGAAAATCTGTAACTCAAAATCCTATGGAAGTCAAAGTTGAAAACTAAAAAATAAATAATTAGATTTTTTAAAAAAGAAAAGAAAATGCCCAACCATGAGATGTAAGTTCATGTGAAAGAGATGGAGCCACCCCAAAGCGCTTTGTAATTACTTTCCTCCATAAATGCTTTTAAAAAAAATCTGTTAAATAAAGCATATAATAAAAAAGCATTCTAGAATTCTGACAAGATTTGAAGAAAAGCACAGTGCCTCAGAGTTTAAAGGCTATACCTTATACTTTTTTTAAAAGGACATTTTTCCCTTTTCCAATTCTGTGGCAAGTACATGTTCAAAGAACAAAGTCTTGTTGTTCTTAATTATATTGGGCTATAGAATACATACAGACCTTATGAAATGTAGTCATTGAAAGTATCAATGCTAACCATTTTTGTTCTATCCATCTCAACCTAAAGATCATATTCCATAGCAGAAAAAAATCACAAGGAAAATACTTAGTACAAT